CAACAACAGATCTGAACCAAACGTGGCACACAGACCCATCATGCCGGACTTTACATACTGGTGGGTTAGGGGTGGGAAGATGGAAGTTGTATTATGAATCTGAACCAAACATGGTGGCACACAAACTCATCATGGCCAACAAAAAATACTGGCTGGGTTTGGGGGAGAATTGGCTCCGGATATTGGGAGCTGTAGTTCACCCTGAATCAAGAGAGCCCTGTGACTCTCACTAACAATGGATGTCGACCAAATGTGGCACGCCGACCCACCATGACCAACAGCAATTACTGGCCAGGGTTTTTGTTTTTGTTTTTTTTTGGGGGGGGGGGGGTTGATCCAGGATGCTGAGAGTTGTAGCACCCAATATCAAAGAGCACCGTGAACCCAACTGACGATGGATCTGAACCAAACTTGGCACACTTAATCCACCATGATCAACTTTAAGTACTGGTGGGATTTGGGGGGAATTACTGGCCAGGGTTTGTTTGGTTTTTTTTTTGGGGGGGGGGGATCCAGGATGCTGAGAGTTGTAGCACCTAATATCAAAGAGCACCGTGAACCCAACTGACGATAGATCTGAACCAAACTTGGCACACTTAATCCACCATGATCAACTTTAAGTACTAGTGGAATTTGGGGGGAATTACTGACCAGGGTTTTTTTTTTTGGGAGGAGGGGGCTGAGAGTTGTAACACCCAATATCAAAGAGCACCGTGAACCCAACTGACGATGGATCTGAACCAAACTTGGCACACTTAATCCACCATGATCAACTTTATGTACTAGTGGGATTTGGGGAGAATTTACCTTGGATGCTGGGAGTTGTAGTTCACCCACTACCAAAGTACACCGTGAACCTAACCAACAATGGATCTGGACCAAACTTGCTATAGTTTAAGTACTGTTGATTTTTTTTGGGGGGGGGGGGGTTGACCTTGGATGTAGGGAGTTGTAGTTCACCCATTGTCAAAGAGCACTGTGAACCTCACCGATGATGGATCATATAGCCGAACATGACAATATTAAAATAGTGGCAGGGTCTGGGGGATTGACCCAGCATGACAGGAGTTGTAGTTCACACACATATTTATTCATTTTTAAATGCGTCCATTAATAAGATCCAAAACCAAACAATGACCTTTTCTTTCAAAAGGCAATACCAATTATCTAATCTGGGCATCACTGGGGACCTAAGCTAGTTAATGCATACAAAAGTCAAAGTATGGGCGTATATCTGTTGGTTGGTTTGATGGATCTGGACCAAATTTGCCAACTAAAATAATTGTGGAGTTTCAACTGTAATATCCACCTCATTTTAGGGCGAGGGCCTCAAAAGGTAAAAATTGGCAATCTACATATAGAAAGGATTAGCCGATAGGTATACATGCATGCAACACTCAGATGCAATCACAAGGGGGCTATCTACTGCTGAACTTTAATAAGAAATGTGCCTGTGTGGTGAATTAATATAAGATGTTTATGAGTAAACAAGTTATCTTATTTTTCAAAGAAGACTTTGTTTTTATCTCTGAGGGCGTATTTTAACTAAGAGGTTTCAAGGGAGAGTATATCTTTTAGGGCAATTACAACTGCTAATTATAACTGCAAAGAAATAATCATCCTCTGATAACCAAATATATATTTTGTGGTGGCATGTCTTTATCTGTGGCAGTTTAAAGACATGCTTCTTCAGTTTAACAGCTGAGTTAGCTGTGTGCCATTACATTTTTTTTGTGTGTGTGAATGTCAGAAGCAACTTGAGAAACTGCAAGTTGCATCTGGTGTGAGAGAATTGGCAGTCAGCAAGGACGTTGCCCAGGGGACTGATGTTTTTTGATGTTTTCTCATCCTTGTGGGAGGCTTCTCTTATGTCCCCGAATGGGGAGCTGGAGCTGACAGGGAGCTCATCTGCGCTCTCCCCAGATTCAAACCTCCGACCTGTTGATCTTCAGTCCTGCCAGCACAAGGGTTTAACACACTGCGCCAGGGGGGCTCCTGTGCCATTATATGAATGCTTATGAATATCACTTGTTCAAAAAGTTGACTTAGAATCATAGAATCATAGAGTTGGAAGAGACCTCATGGGCCATCCAGTACAACCCCACTCTGCCAAGAAGCAGGAATATTGCATTCAAAGCACCCCTGACAGATGGCCATCTAGCTTCTGTTTAAAAACCTCCAAAGAAGGAGCCTCCACCACACTCCGGGGCAGAGAGTTCCACTGCTGAACGGCTCTCACAGTCAGGAAGTTCTTCCTCATGTTCAGATAGAATCTCCTTCCTTGTAGTTTGAAGCTACTGTTCCGCGTCCTAGTCTCCAGGGAAGCAGAAAACAAGCTTGCTCCCTCCTCCCAGTGACTTCCTCTCACATATTTATACATGGCTATCATATCTCCTCTCAGCCTTCTCTTCTTCAGGCTAAACATGCTCAGCTCCTTAAGCCGCTCCTCATAGGGCTTGTTCTCCAGACCCTTGATCATTTTAGTCGCCCTCCTCTGGACACATTCCAGCTTGTCAATATCTCTCTTCAATTGTGGTGCCCAGAATTGGACACAATATTCCAGGTGTGGTCTAACCAAAGCAGAATAGAGCATGGGGAGCATGACTTCCCTAGATCTAGACACTATGCTCCTATTGATGCAAGCCAAAATCCCATTGGCTTTTTTTGCCGCCACATCACATTGTTGGCTCATGTTTAACTTGTTGTCCACGAGGACTCCAAGATCTTTTTCACACGTACTGCTCTCGAGCCAGGCATCGTCCCCCATTCTGTATCTTTGCATTTTGTTTTTTCTGCCTAAGTGGAGTATCTTGCATTTGTCACTGTTGAACTTCATTTTGTTAGCTTTGGCCAATCATCTCTCTAATCTGTCAAGATCGTTTTGAATCCTGCTCCTGTCCTCTGGAGTCTTGGCTCTCCCTCCCAATTTGGTGTCGTCTGCAAACTTGATGATCCTGCCTTCTAACGCTTCATCTAAGTCATTAATAAAGATGTTGAACAGGATCGGGCCCAGGATGGAACCCTGCATCCTGGGTTCCGACCTTCTAACAAGGTCATGCTTTTCTTGACTAGTGGTTTTCAAAAGGTGGTCTCCATATGTTCATGGAGATTCACATTTGCCAAACGGTTATGACATCATTTTTACCTTTTCAATAAGGTTATGGTGCAGTTATTTCTGATAGGTTACAGAATTTCCAATAGTAAGCAATTTAAAGAAGATTTATATTTTGGAAGAGGTGTGTGTGTATGTGTGTGTGTGTTTGGGCCTTGCTGTAAGGCTGAGAGACTATCACCTCCCAGGAAAGGCTGGATGAAGAAGACCTAAGAATATAATAATAATAATAATAATAATAATAATAATAATAATAATAACTTTATTTATATACCGCTCCATCTCCCCGAGGGGACTCAGAGCGGTTCCCAAATATCATCATAAAACATGCAGAGTAAAAACAACATAACCATAAGATTAACAAACAAAATATAAGCATAAAAATTGTCGCCATAACACACATATATTAAAAGTAATCCTGCCTGTTCAAGGCAATTAAAAATTTAAAAGGCCGGGCCAAGGTTTGTGCAAGCCCAAAAAATTCTAGGGGGCCCGGGAATTAAGTGCAATGCTATGGCAGGCAACAATAATATTAGGTCTGTGCTGTCCATTCCGGGGCTGATTAGAGGAAAGAATCTGGGTAACTTGTAGGAAGAATAAGGCCGTATTTGACAATGTGTGGGGCTGAGTTAGAACTGGTCGTTTTCAAAGGCTTGTTGAAACCACCAGGTCTTCAAGCTCTTACAAAAGGAGGGGAGGGATGGGGCCTGTCTTATTTCCTTTGGAAGGGCGTTCCAGAGACGGGGGGCCACCACTGAGAAGGCCCTCTCTCTCGTCTCCACCAACCGCGCTTGAGATGGTGGTGGGACCGAGAGGAGGGCCTCCCCGGAAGATCTTAGAGCTCGCGCCGGTTCATAGAAGGAGATGGGATCGCGGAGATAGACGGGGCCAGAACCGTTTAGTGCTTTATAGGTCATGACCTGCACCTTAAATTTGGCTCGGCAACTTCTCGGCAGCCAATGAAGCTGTTTTAATATGCTCCCTATAGTTTGCTCCAGTAAGGAGCCTGGCTGCCATCCGCTGTACCAGATCAAACTTCTGGGCCGTCTTCAAGGGCAGCCCTATGTAGAGAGCATTGCAATAGTCCAGTTTGGATGTAACCAAGGCGTGGACCACCCTGGCCAAGTCAGACTTCACGAGGTATGGTCGCAGCTGGCGCACAAGAAAGGAAAAAAGGTATGAGGGAAGGAAAGATAAGGAAAGGAAAAGAGGAGGAATGGGGGATGAAAAAAGGGAGGGAGGAAAGGAAGACGAAGGAAGAAAAAGGAAAGGAAGAGCGAGGAATGTGTATGAGGGAAAGCAAGAAAAGATGGAAAGAAGGGAAGAAAGAAAGGGAAAAGGAAGGAAGGTAAAAGAAAGCCAGACAGACAGAGGAAGGTGTATGAGGGAAAGAATGGGAAGAAGGAAAGGAAGGAAGGAAAGAAAGAGGGAAGCAATGTAAAGGGGAAAGGGAGGAAGAAAAGAAAGAGCCACAAAGAAAATGCAAAGCTGGGCCATGTATTTCTGATGGCACAAATGGTATCAAAATGGCAGATATCTGGCCTGACGGAGCATACAACCTGGAGGAAACTACTCCACACCTTGAACATGAATGCGCTAAAAATAAACCAACCTATCATTAATAGCAAAGTAATGATTGGCTGGTTCCAGAGTCCAGATCTCAGTTCTGTGAGCAAATAATTAAAATCTCGACCGAAAGAATGCTTGAAATGACTTGTTTCCCTCTGGGGCAAATATTTAGATTGCTGGAAGGAGGAGAGACATTTACTGCAAAGCTCAAATACCTGACAAATGAATCTACTAGTGACTCACTAGCGACCAGCCAATTATTACCAGCACAAATCAGATGGTAAAATTAGACAGTGAAACAAGAGCAGCAAGCACTTACCAGATCCAATGCCGATCCCCCGCCTAAGTATTCCATTATTATCCATAACTTTGTGCCCTAAAAAGGAAATACAGATCAAAAGTCAGACTTCTCAAGGGAGATAAATGTACCATTTTGTAGAAAGGCAGGTATCTCTTAAGATCAGTCATCTAACCCAATGGTTCTCAACCTTTCTAATGCCATGACCCCTTAATACAGTTCCTCATCTTGTGGTGACTCCCAACCATAAAATTATTTTCATTGCTATTTCATAACTGTAATTTTGACACTGTTATGAGTCATAATATAGATAGCTGATATGAAGGATGTATTTCAAACACTGGACCAAATTTGGCACAAATACCTGATACACCCAAATTTCAATACTGGTGGGGTTGGGGGGAGGGGATTTGATTTGGTTATTTGAGAGTTGTAGTTGCTGGGATTTATAGTTCACCTACAATCAAAGAGCATTCTGAACTCCATCAATGATGGAATTGGACCACACTTGGCACACTAGACTCCCATAACCAACAGAAATCACTAAAAGGGTTTGGTGGGCATTGACCTTGATTCTGGAGTTGTAGTTCACCTACATCGAGAGAGCACTGTGGACTCAAACCAATGATGGATCTGGACCAAACTGTACATGAATACTTAATATGCCCAAATGTGAACACTGGTGGAGTTTGTGGAAAATAGGTACTTAAATTAAAAGTGTCCAAAAGTAGAAGGCTACTATTTTGATGGTCTTTCAAGTGTAGTTTTAGAAAGTACAACATCTCTCATTAGGCCTTTGTTCTTGCTTTAAATGGGGTTTGCTTTATATGTTGTTTGTCATGAAGTATTACATTTAAAAACTGCTCGTTGCACACTGTAGGGACTGTATTTTATGGCCTTAGGACTCCAAAGTATTTGCTTGTATGATTACGAAACAGGAATACATGGGTAGAGCATGAAACATTGAAGTATGCACACCCAACAGGCCTTTCAATCTCACAAAATAGTCCTGCGATCACAAAAACAACACTAAATAATAACTGAAAAATAAATAATAATAATAAATTTAAATAATAAATGAGACATTGATGGGCTTTAGCTTTAATTTCTAGATGGCGAAATCTGCAAAAGTTTGTATATGTTTCAAGTAGGAGCAATACTTTTCCAACCTAGTGTCCAATGGACTACAAAAGCCATCATCCTCAGTCAACAGGATCAGTCTATACTGCGTTAACTACTTTCTGCAGCCCCCTTTACAATGCCAAAGCCGTGTCTCCAATTTTCAGCGTTAAAACCAATTTCTAACCCAAAATCCTTTCCTGGCTATGGACTGAAAGCTGAGCAAGGAACTAAAGGTGTCCAAATAGCACACAGAGAAAGCTCTGTTGAGGACCAGGAAGGTACATAGGCCACCTTTATACTTCATGTGTTTGTTCTGACAATCGGAAAGCAGGAAGGAAGGGGTTTTGTCCCTTTTGGGGCCCTTCACAAAGTCCAACTGTGTGCCACTGGGGAAAAACCTTGAAAAAGCATTCCCTTCTGGGCAAACAGATACCTTTTGGGTGGTGGCAGCGTGATTCGGAAAAGTCTACACAGCAGAAGAAAGTAGGCACTGTGTCCTTCCCAAAAAACTGCTCAAAAGAGTAGCTGTTGGAAACTTTACACAAAACACAGATTTAGCCTGCACATGGAAGAAAAGCACTTCTTTAGACTGAGAGCATATAATTTGGGAAGAGCCAGAGGTCATGAAAGGGTCTTAAAATGGCTTGAATCCCCATACAACTACCATTATACAACAACAAAAACAACAAGAACAGATCATATAATAGTATTATTACACCCCGCCTCATAGGAAACCTGCTACAAAACAGGAGCTTTTTTGTTGAGTTCCAGGGCCAGAGAAGCAGATGGTGGAAACAGAAGAACGGCCTGCCTCAGGGGAGCGTGCTTGCTCCATCCATGTTCAACATCTACACAAATGACCAGCCACTGCCAGAAGGGACAGAGAGTTTCATCTATGCTGATGATCGTGCCATCACCGCTCAAGCAGGGAGCTTTGAGATGGTAGAACAGAAGCTCTCCGAAGCTCTAGGTGCTCTTACTGCCTATTACAGGGAAAACCAGCTGATCCCTAATCTATCTGAAACACAGACATGTGCTTTTCACCTTAAGAACAGACAAGCATCCCGAGCTCTGAGGATTACCTAGGAAGGAATCCCACTGGAGCATTGCAGCGCACCCCAATACCTGGGAGTCACTCTGGACCGTGCTCTGACCTACAAGAAGCACTGCCTGAATATCAAGCTAAAGGTGGGTGCTAGAAACAATATCATACGAAAGCTGACTGGCACAACCTGGGGATCACAACCAGACACAGTGAAGACATCTGCCCTTGCGCTATGCTACTCTGCTGCTGAGTATGCATGCCCAGTGTGGAACACATCTCACCACGCTAAAACAGTGGATGTGGCTCTTAATGAGACATGTCGTATTATCACGGGGTGTCTGTGCCCTACACCACTGGAGAAATTACACTGCTTAGCCAGTATTGCACCACCTGACATCCACCAGGAAGTAGCAGCCAATAGTGAAAGGACCAAGGCAGAGACATCTCCAGCTCATCCCCTATTTGGGTATCAGCCAGCACGTCAACGGCTTAAATCAAGAAATAGTTTTCTTAGATCTACAGAGACACTCGCTAGAACACCTCAGCAAGTGGCAGGCTCAAACCCAGCACCTCAATCCGTGGGTGATACCAGATGAGAGACTCCCCCCTGGGCACACAGAAGTCTGGGCGACTTGGAAGGCGCTGAACAGACTGCGCTCTGGCACCACGAGATGCAGAGCCAACCTCAAGAAATGGGCCTACAAAGTGGAATCCACAACATGTGAGTGTGGAGAAGAGCAAACCAAACCACTGACCACCTGCTGCAATGCAACCTGAGCCCTGCCACATGCACCATGGAGGACCTTCTCGCAGCAACACCAGAGGCACTCCAAGTGGCCAGATACTGGTCAAAGGACATTTAATCAACTACCAAGCTTGCAAACTTTGTGTTTTGTCCGTTGGTTTGTTTGTTTTGTTAAAAATGTAATACAAATGTCTGGTTGCTCCTGACATGATAAGTAAATAATAAATAAATACTATTACAGGTATATAAAATTATTATTATTATTATTAGTAGTAGTAGTAGTAGTAGTAGCAGCAGCAGCAGCAGCAGCAGCAGCAAATGATCTGCAACTTCTATGCTGACGATTGTGCCATCACCGCTCAAGCAGGGAGCTTTGAAATGGTTCAACAGAAGCTCTCTGAAGCTTTAGCTGCTTTTATTGCCTATTACAGGGAAAACCAGCTGATTCTGAATCCATCTAAATTGTAGGCGTGTGCTTTTCATCTTAAGAACAAACAAGCATCCCGAGCTCTGAGGATTATCTGGGAGGAAATCCCACTGGAGCATTGCAGCACACCCAAATACCTGGGAGTCACTCTGGATAGTGCTCTGACTTATAAGAAGTACTATTTGAATTTTAACCAAAATTGTATTTCATGCTTTGTCGTAGACACTTTGTGCCATATGTAAGCTGCCTCAAGTCCCTTCGGAGAGGTGGAGGCGGGATACAACAATAAAGTTGTAAGTTGTTGTTGTTCTCTGTTTCAGAAGGACAAACACAGACTCTAAGGACAATTACCATATCTACTTGAGTATAAGCCGACCTGAATATAAACCGAGGTACCTAATTTTACCATCAAAAAGTTAGAAAACTTATTGACTTGAGTATAAGTCGAGGGTGGGAAATGCAGCAGCTACTAGTAATACAAAATAAATATAGATACCAATAAAATTACATTAATTGAGGAAACAGTAGGTTAAATGTTTTTCAATGTTTACATAAAACTGTAATTTAAAATAAGACTGACCAACTTTGCTTAAACCATTATTCTAACTTTTCAGTGTAAATGTGCTTACGTATCCTTCCAATAATAATAAAGAAAAGAAAATAATAAATGTAATAACCACAATAATAAAGTAAAATAATAAATGTAATAATAATAATAATAATAAATAGAGTAAAATAAATATAATAAAATAATGATGGGAGTAAAATAATGCAAATGTAATAATGCCAATAATAGCGTAAAATAAATATAATAAAATAATAATGGAGTAAAAAATGCAAATGTAATAATGCCAATAATAGAGTAAAATAATAAATGTAATAACAATAAATAAATAAATAAATAAATAAATAACACTTTATTTGTACCCCGCTACCATCTCCCCAAGAAACTCGGTGTGGCTTACATAAAATATACAACATTATCAAAAATACAACACACAATTAAAACAGTGGGAAGGCCAAATGTAAAATTAAAATTGGAAGTAATGCTGGGACATGGACGAGAAGGTGATAGTGGCGTTTGTGGAAGGCATACCTAAAAAATGTAAAGTGCTTTGGAGGACAAGGTGCTATGGAATCAATTATTCCAGGAAGGCACACTGGAACAACCACGTCTTAAAGCTCCTCCTAAAGACTGCCAAAGTTGGGGCCTGTCTGATGTCTTTAGGGAGTGAGTTCCAGAGTCGAGGGGCCACCACCGAAAAGGCCCTCTCTCTTGTCCCCACCAATCGCATCTGCGATGCTGGTGGGATCGAGAGCAGGGCCTCTCCGGAAGATCGAAGGGATTGTGTGGCTTCGTATATATGTAATAATAATAATAAATAGAATAAAATAAATGTAATAAACTAATAATAGAGTAAAACAATGTAAATGTAATAATACCAATAATAGAGTAAAATTATAAATGTAATAAAATAATAGTAATAACAGAATAAAATAATAAATAACTTTGACTCGAGTATAAGCCGAGGGCAGCTTTTTCAGCCTAAACTAGGCTTATACTCGAGTATATACAATACTTTTATGTACCGATTGTTTTTAACTGTGATAATTGTTTTAACTGCTGTTTTGTACGTATGTGTAATTTGTGTAGGCATCGAAATGTGCCTTTTTGTAAGCCGCCCTGAGTCCCCCCTCGGGGGTTGAGAAGGGCGGGTAGAAGTAACCGAAATAAATAATATATATATATATATATATATATATATATATATATATATTCAACATTTCAGCTTGGAAATTGCTTCAACCCAACTGACAAATGAATGGCGAAAGCCACATTTTACATATGTTATACGCCAACATGCTCCTACTCTCCAGTCGGCTGCAGACAGCATTCAGGTTTATGTACTTAAAAAAAGAACTCCCAAATCCACCAATGCGCTCAGACCTGATCTTATAATCCAGGCACAACAAAGTCCACTCCTGACTGTTTCAAGCTCTCTTTGCTGCTGCCACCTCAATTTAAATGGAGGGAGAAAAGGGACATTTTGTTCTTGCTTTCTGACTTCTTCCAAAGTGGCAAAAGCCCGGCCTTCTTCTTCATCACGCATGACTCCTTCCTGTTGAACATGACTCTGCATTTGCTGTCTCAATAAGCCGCATTCCTTCTTGCTACCTGTCATGTACGGTCTCATTTCAATGTTGTTTTTTAAAAGAAAAACCTGATCTAGCTGCCTTGTTTGTTGTCTTTGTGCCAGGAAGTTAGGATAGAAACATTTCGGCAAATTGACATGAAAACAAGAGCAATAACAACAGCAGAAAGCTCCGAAGGGCAAGTCCTTACAGGGCATAAACATCCCTATATCTTTTCTTGACAGCAAGTACAAGGAAGCGCTTGTGGGTTGGGTTTGGGCTGAACCCGGAACAGCGGCGTTTGCAAAAATGAGCCAAATTAAGAAACTCTTGCACTCTCTCTTTTGCAGAAGTCCGGAAGCTTTGGCTTCTTGTTTGTGATAAACTGTGGCTCATAACATCATTCTAATCTGTGCTTAAACTGAGTGACAATTAGCGGAAATGAGCCAATGTCAAACCATGGTTTGCAAAGGAGCCTTGTTTCGTCTACTGAGCAAAATAAGCCATGGTTTGCCTGCATTGATCAGTACTCATTCTAAAGTGGAAGGAAGAAAAAGGGAGCTTGTGTGCCTTAGAGGTGCTATACCTCATCCTCCTTTGCAGAATACAACAAGCTCGGCCTGTCAATGAACATCGAGAAAACCAAAGTGCTCTTCCAGCAGTCACCAGCCAATCCCTCTGAAATGCCAGAAATACAGCTTGATGGTATTAACATTAGAAAATGTTGACCCTTTCCACTACCTTGGCAGCCAACTCTCTACAAAAGCCAACATTGACACTGAAATACAACATCGCCTGAGCTCTGCAAGTGCAGCATTTTCCCAAATGAAGCAGAGAGTGTTTGAGGATCGGGACATACATAGAGATACCAAGGTGCTTGTTTATAAAGCTACTAGCCATCCCCTGCCACGCGTTGCTGTGGCCCACATGGGGGTTCTGTGTGGGTAGTTTGGCCCAATTCTATCGTTTGTGGGGTTCAGAATGCTCTGTGAGTGTAAGTGAACTATAAATCCCAGCAACTACAACTCCCAAATGTCAAGATTCTGTTTTCCCCAAACTCCACCAGTGTTCACATTTGGGCATATTGAGTATTCGTGTAGAGTTTGCATTTTATACAATTTTAAAACTGACTTTTTCAAATAACCTGGGCAATGCCAGGCACCCAAGCTAGTATATTATCTATATAAATAAAAATGTAATGTTCGTTTGTGGTATTCACAGAACTCAAAAACCACTGGGGGAATTGACACCAAATTTGGACACGATACACCTAACAACCCAATGTATGTCCTTCACTCAAAAAATGTGATTTTGTCATTTGGGAGTTGTAGTTGCTGGGATTTATAGTTCACCTACAATCAAAGAACATTCTGAACCCCACCAATGACGGAATTGAACCAAACTTGGCACACAGTTCTCCCATGACCAACAGAAAATACTGGAAGGTTTTGGTGGGCAGTGTCCTTTGGTTTTGGAGTTGTAGTTCACCTACATCTAGAAATCACTGTGGACTCAAACAATGATGGATCTGGACCAAACTCTATGCAAATACTCAATATGCCCAAATGTGAACACTGGTGGAGTTTGGGGAAAACGAAATCTTGACAGTTGGGAGTTGTAGTTGCTGGGATTTATAGTTCACCTACAATCAAAGAGCATTCTGAACCCCACCAATGATAGAATTGGGCCAAACCTCCCACACAGAACACCCATGAGGGCCACAGCAACGCGTGGCAGGGGACGGCTAGTTATATAATAGAATATGTTTCATATAATCTTTACAGTAGAAACAAGGTTCCTGTGTAGATTCCTCTATAGTTGCTCCATACAGTTCAATAGATTTCCTTTCTTCATCCAAAACTTTTCCATTTCAGTGGGAATTATTGCAACTCAATCAATAAATTGGGCAAACGATAAAAGTTATAGCAGTTATCTACACTTGAAAAGCACCAGCACTCCCCTTCTGTAGGGATTAATCCTATCTGGAGAAACTTTGTTTATGTGGCCGCCACAAACCAGGATGAATTGGTTGAGACTCTATAAGATTTTCATTATTTATTATTTATTTAATTTATTTAAAACGTTTATATCTCGATCTTCTCAACCTCCATAGAGGGACTCGGACCGGCATTGAAAAACTATAGCAAAATGTGCTGCAGGATGTCCCTCCCACAGAAACAAAGTTTTTGGAGTTTGGTAAACTTTTCCCATTTTTTATGATAGAACCAATTAGGAAATGATATTTATAACACAGGAACAAAAATTGTGTTACATAGTGTGATGTTGTTGTTGTTCATTCGTTCAGTCGTCTCCGACTCTTCGTGACCTCATGGACCAGCCCACGCCAGAGCTCCCTGTTGGCCATCACCACCCCCAGCTCCTTCAAGGTCAGTCCAGTCACTTCAAGGATGCCATCCATCCATCTTGCCCTTGATCGGCCCCTCTTCCTTTTGCCTTCCACTTTCCCCAGCATCATTGTCTTCTCAATGCTTTGCTGTCTCAAGATGTGGCCAAAGTTCTTCAACTTTGTCTCTAGTATCCTTCCCTCCAATGAGCAGTTGGGCTTTATTTCCTGGAGGATGGACTGGTTGGATCTTCTCGCAGTCCAAGGCACTCTCAGAACTTTCCTCCAACACCACAGTTCAAAAGCATCTATCTTCCTTCGCTCAGCCTTCCCTAAGGTCCAGCTCTCACATCTGTAGGTTACTACAGGGAATACCATGGATTTGACTATGCGGATCTTTGTTGACAGTGTGATGTCTCTACTCTTTACTATTTTATCGAGATTTGACATTGCTCTCCTCCCAAGAAGTAAGCGTCTTCTTATTTCCTGGCCACAGCCTGCAGGAAATCACAAGACGCTTACTTCTTGGGACAAGGCGGTGATCCTTTGCTGGAGACATAGTGCGATAAGGTCAACCAAAACAGCAAATGGATAGCTCAGTGGCTAAACAACTGGGTCATGCTAAAGTTGGAATATCTTTAGTATTTCAGTGTCCTGGAAACACAAGCATCAAAATGTGATGCAAACAACAAGCTCAAATCATATTCTATCCTCTATTTCAAAAGGAAGTCACAACACTTTCAAAGCCACCAACTTTTTTCAGCAAAACATGACACAGCCATATACGTTACCTTCAAATAGGAGCCGTAGTATTTTGTGACATATGGGCTGTCGCATTGGCTCAGAACAGTGATCTCCTGCTGGATGTCTTCAATTTCATCTTCGGCCTCTTCCAGGTCTATGATTTTGATGGCCACCACTTGCTGCGTCCGATTATCAATGCCTTTAAAGACTTCCCCAAAGGATCCTTTCCCGATGCGTTCAAGCTTCGTGAAAAGCTCTTCGGGGTCTGCTCTATGGTTCTGGGAGAAGAAAGAAGGGGGGGGGGGAGGGAGGAAACGAAACAATGATTAGACATTTGCCTTGATTCAGGTCAAACTGTCCCTTTCCCATCAAACAAAACCAAAGAGGATTGATGTGGGCAACAAGGGTTCCCTCCTAAGAAAACCCACAATATATTTCATTATGTTTTCACAGCGTTATAGTTGCACATTGAGTACCATCTACAGCAGGGGTCCTCAAACTAAGGCCCTCCAAGGTCATTTACCCGCCCCTCACTCAGGATCAACCTAAGTCTGAAACGACTTGAAAGCACACAACAACAACAACAACAACAACAATCCTATCTCATCAGCCAAAAGCAGGTCCACACTTCCCATTGAAATACTAATAAGTTTATATTTGTTAAAATTGTTCTTCATTTTAATTATTGTATTGTTTTAAAGTGTTTTTGCACTACAAATAAGATATGTGCAGTGCACATAGGAATTCATTCATGTTTTTTTCAAATTATAATCTGGCCTTCCAACAGTTTGAGGGACTGTGACCTGGCCCTCTGTTTAAAAAGTTTGAAGACCCCTGCTATAGATACTCATATATGTTTAGAAATGTTAGTCAAAACAACCTTGGTATCCCTACGGATGTCTTCTTCCTCAAACACTCTCTGCTTCATTCAGAACAATGCTGCACTTGCAGAGCTCAGGCGGTGTTGTATTTCAGTGTCAATGTTGACTTTTGTGGAGAGGGTTGCCAAGGTAGCTGAAAGGGTCAACATTTTTTAATGTTACACCATTAAGCTGGATTTCTGGCATTGCAGAGGGATTGGCTGATCACTGCTGGAAGAGCACTTTCATTTTCTTAATGTTCAATGAGAAGCCGAGCTTGTCGTATGCTTCTGCAAAGGTGTTTAGAGTGGCTTGTAGGTCTTCTTCTGAATGCGCCAGACTACGTTATTATCAGCATATTGGAGTTCTACAGGGTGAGGCATCCTAACTTCCTTTTTTCAAAACTTAATAAAGCCCATTGTATGAATCAGATTTTTTTTTATAATAGGTTCTTGTGGGTTTTTTCGGGCTATATGGCCACGTTCTAGAGGCATTTTCTCCTGACGTTTCGCCTGCATCTATGGCAAGCATCCTCAGAGGTAGTGAGGTCTGTTGGAAGTAGGAAAATGGGTTTATATATCTGTGGAATGACTGGGGTGGGGCAAAGAGCTCTTCCTGCTGGAGCTAGGTGTGAATGTTTCAACTGACCACCTTCATTAGCATTTGAAGGCCTGGCTGAGCCTGGGGGAATCTTTTGTTGAGAGGTGTTAAGATGTGCCTGGTTGTTTCCTCTCTGCTGTTTTGCTGTTGTAATTTTAGAGTTTTTTTAATACTGGTAGCCAGATTTTGTTCATTTTCATGGTCTCCTCCTTTCTGTTGAAATTGTCCACATGCTTGTGGATTTCAATGGCTTCTCTGTGTAGTCTGACATGGTGGTTGTTGGAGTGGTCCAGCATTTCTGTGTTCTCAAATAATATGCTGTGTCCAGGCTGGTTCATCAGGTGCTCTGCTATGGCTGACTTCTCTGGTTGAAGTAGTCTGCAGTGCCTTTCATGTTCCTTGATTCGTGTTTGGGTGCTGCGTTTGGTGGTCCCTTTGTAGACTCCTGCAGAGGCGAGAGGATCCCTCTTTTTTATAATGTAGGTGCATATCTAAAGTTTTGTTTTACGTAGTTATGAAGATCAAATTAGGTACGTGACGTCCCCCATTCTCCATTTTTCATACACTGAGTAAACCAATTTCTGGTGTTTGTCATGACTCTTGCCAGCATAGCAGGCGTTATGTTGGCAATTTCTTCCTGGATGTTGGTCTTCAAATCTTGTAGGGTCCTTGGACGGTTCACAGAAACACGGGATTTCAAAAAACCCCATAGAAAAAAATCACAAGGGGCCAAATCTGGAGAGCGGGCCGGCCACTCCAAATCCGCTCGAAAAGTAGGCCTCAACGGCAAAAGCACGCTCCTCACTGTTCCAACGCATGATGGCGACTGAACTGTGTCAGGACAAAACTTTATACTCCCGCCTCTCGAACGAGACCACTAGCGCTCTGCTACGACTTCAACCAACTGGATGGCGCACATTTTAAAAAAGGAAGATATGCTGCCTCACCCTGTATAACAGATGTTGTTGTAATCTTGGTTTTGGTTTTCAATCTTCTGAGGTTGAATAGCTTTCCATCTTTCCTATAGATTATTTCCATTCCAATGGGAAGCTTCCCATCAACAAGATGAAATATCATAGAGATGAAGATGGAAAATAAAGTTGGGGCAATCACATATCCCTGTTTGACACCTGATTCCACCTTAAATGGATCACTTTGGACTCCATTGCTGTCCAAGACTGTTGCCATCATGTCATCATGGAGGAGCCATAGGATGTTCACAAATTTGTCAGGGCATCTATCTATCTACTGCAGTGGTTCTCAACCTTCCTAATGCCACGACCCCTTAAAAGAGTTCCTCATGTTGTGTTGACCCCCCCCCCCAACCATAAAATTACTTTCGTTGCTACTTTATAAATGTAATTTTGCTAGTGTTATGAATCATAATATAAATATCTGATATGCAGGATCTATTTTCATTCACTGGACCAAACTGGGTCCAGTGAATGATATGCCCAAATCTGAATATCTGATATGCCCAAATCTGAATACTGGTGGGGTTGGGGGTGTGCGATTGAGTTTGTCATTTGGGAGTTGTAGTTGCTGGGATTTGTAGTTCACCTACAATCAAAGAGAATTCTGAACTCCACCAACGATGGAATTGAACCAAACTTGGCACACAGAACTCCCATGATCAACAGAAAATACTGGAAGGGTTTGGTGGGCATTGACCTTGAGTTTGGGAGTTGTAGTTCACCTACATCCAGAGATCACTTTGGATTCAAACAATGACGAATCTGGACCAAACTTGGCTCAATATGCCCAAATGTGAACACGGGTGGAGTTTGGGGAAAATAGACCTTGACCTTTGGGAGTTGTAGTTACTAGGATTTATAGTTCACCTATAATCAAAGAGTATTCTGAACTCCAACGATAGAATTGGGCCAAACTTCCCACACAGATCCTCCATAATCAACAGAAACTACTGTGTTTTCTGGTGGTCTTTGGCGACCCCTCTGACACCCCCTCGCGACCCCTCCAGGGGTCCCGACCCCCAGGTTGAGAAACACTGATCTACTGTATCTATCAATCAATCAAATTGCCCTCTTGTGGTGGCATATGAGTGCTCCATACATACACCCCTATTAATTTGTTTTTGGGGCCCTGACACCAAATGAGCTGGATTTTGTAGTTGTAATCTCACCAGTATTTTAGGTTGGATAACTAAAGATGTATGTACTAAAGTTTGGTCTCCATTCATCTAGCCATGTTGGAACCCTTGAGGAACAAACATACACACCTATTTTCACTCATATGCATAGTTGGAAAAGTTGAGAGCCAACACCTCTGCTTTAACCATGCAGCTTTATTGCTTTTTGGTGGCATTTTCCACCAGCGCACACTCCTCACAGAGGCAAAGGAATGCGGTGCCGTTGGGAAGAAAGTAATACAGTCTGCAACTTCTAATTTAAACATAGACTCACTAGAACATAAGGAAGGCATCTAACTTCCATTTCTGAGAGTTGTAGTCTTCAATTCAAAAAATAACAAGATGGAACAGGGGCCACTTAGCACAGTGGTTCTCAACCTTCCTAATATGCCCAAATTTGAATATTGGGGGGGGGGGGGGTTATTTTGTCATTTGGGTGTTGTAGTTGCTGGGATTTATAGTTCGCCTAAAACCAAAGAGCATTCCGAACTCCGCAAATGATAGAGTTGAACCAAACTTGAACCAAGCTCCTATGACCAAGAGAAAATACTGGAAGGGTTTGGTGGACATTAACCCTGAGTTTTGGAGTTGTATTCACCTACATCCAAAGAACACTGTGGACTGAAACAATGATGGCATGAATACTCAATAATGTGAACACTAGTGGAGTTTGGGGAAAAGAGACTTGACATTTGGGAGTTGTAGTTCCTGGAATTTATGGTTCACCTGAAGCATTCTGAACTCCACCAATGATAAAATTGGGCCAAACTTCCCACACAGAACCCCCATGACAAACAAAAAATACTGTGTTTTCTAATGGTCTTTGGACCCCTCTGACACCCCCTCACGACCCCCCCAGGGGTCCCGACCCCCAGGTTGAGAAACACTGACTTAGCATGTTCAGACACACACATCTGTTGCTCTGAATCTCCCATGCTCTTCTTGCATGAAAAATGCTAGGTGTTTAGAAAATTAGGAGTGGAAGACCATTCGCAAATATTTTTTCAAAGCGTTGTGTTGTTTTTTAACTGCTTTTAATTAAATTTCTGAAAGTTTGGGGAAAACGGTCGTCATTGACATCAGCCCCTTTCCTTTGTTCCTCACTGGGTCTCTTCACTTGCAGTCTTTCCTCCCAGGATCCAATGACGGAAACCCAAAAGTCGAATTTATAATAGTATACAATGCTGCCTTTTGAATGGTTTGTGTACATGATTCCAGGAGCAACCCTGTGGCTCAATTTGGATGTCTGGATTTGGTTATGTTTCCATTCTCCCCCTGCTTTTCACCCAATGAGACGATGTTTGCATACAGCTGCTGTTTAAAGAACAACAGTTTTTTTTAAAGTCAGGAGAGATATATATATATATCTGTTCTGAAAAAACCTGCTTCATTTCTGAATGTGTCTGGAGCCCTGACACATGTTTACTTGCAAACTTCGAGAAAGAGAGAAAGAAAGAAATCTTTCATGTGTTTCTTTATCTCTTAACCAAGGTCTTAGCATTATGGCCAAATGTTTGCCTTTCTCTGGTGCAATCCAGCCCTGGAGATAAATATTGAGAAGTGGAAAATTCCACGGGGATCTTGGACTTTTTTAGCATCAGAGGAAACCGGCTATGCAATTATCAGTGGGTTTCTAAAAGGGAACACATTAAGCAAGCTGGGGAGGGTG